GGACACAACATCTTTGTTGGTATGTGGTGCTGAGGATCGAACCCAGGCCGCATGCATGCCAGGCGAGCGCGCTACCGCTTGAGCCACATCCCCAGCCCTCAAAATTAAATTTTAGCAAAGAAATTAAAGTCAAAATAAATCTTGTCGATTATGGTTCTGAAAAAATAAATAAAGCAGGTCTGACACAGAGAGTTTAGCAAAGTCCTAAAAGAGCACTTACTATACATTGTTTCATAATCCTTAGCACATTTCCCCTTTGAAGATTAGGAAATTATGACTCAGAAAAATAAGTAGCTTGCCTAATGTCATCACTGGAAGTAGCAGAGGCTCTTTTGAATTCTATCTCTGAAGAAAGGGAAGGCATCAAAGGGCTAATTTAATGGATCCCATGTGGCATTTTGTCTGTTGATGGTAGTCTAGGGTTCCAGGCTACGTCTTGAAGAGGCCTTGTTAGCCTCCATTCCTCCCTGACTCGAGTACCTAGAAGGGCCACGGAAAACTCAGCCATAGACCTGGAAATGGTAATAAACTTGGGATTTTTCCAAGTTATTTATTTTTTTAAAATTTGTTTTGTTTTTGTAGAACTGGGGATTGAACTCAGGGCCTCATACATGYTAAGCAAGCACTGAGTTACATCCCCAGCCCATATTTTAAATTTTTATTTCAAGACAGAGTCTTGCTAATTATAATTACCCAGGTTGGCTGTGAACTTGTRATTCTCCTGCCTCAGCTTCCCAAGAAGCTGGGGTTATAGGTGAGCACTACAACATCCAGCCCAAGTTCTTTTCTTTTCTTTTTTTGGCCGGGGGGTACCAGGGATTGAATTCAGAGACACTCAACTATTGAGTCACATCCCCAGCCCTATATTGTATTTTATTTAGAGACAGGATCTCACTGAGTTACTTAGCACCTCACCGTTGCTAAGGCTGGCTTTGAACTCGTGATCCTCTGTCTCAGCTTCCCAAACTGTTGGGATTACAGGAGTGGGCCACCGTGCCCGGCCCAAATTATTTCTTATGACATCTCTGGGGCTGATGCTTACTAACCATGTGGCAGGATGGCTTTTGGCTGAGCACTGGCCACATATGGCCCTCCTGGAGCCCATGGAGATTAGAGGCTCTTAAATAACAATGGGAAATGAAATCAATAAGTATATTTTGTTAAATAGGCATTTAGAGTCTGGGCCCATGGACCAATGGGGTGTGATTTTAAAAGTTGTTGATACTATAAACTTTGGAACTACCTTAGTTCCCCTGTTTGTGGACAGGAAAACTGAAGTGTGGACTCATTTTGTCAAATAAGACCCTTTCTCAGGTCTTAAGAAGAGATATTCCTTGTACTGAGGCCCTGACCCTGGGTTTCCTGTGCATTTTTAGATTGATGCATCATGCCTTACGTGGGAAGGACAGCAGTTTCAGGGGAAAGCTGCCATTGTGGAGAAGTTGACTGTAAGTAAGAGCCAAGCTTGGGTGTGGGTACTCCTTCCTTGCCCCTTCAGACCTCAGCCCATGGCCCATTCTTTCTCTTGCAGAGCCTTCCGTTCCAGAAAATCCAGCACAGCATCACGGCGCAGGACCATCAGCCCACGCCAGATAGCTGCATCATCAGCATGGTTGTGGGCCAGCTAAAGGTAGTAGTGCTGCTACAGTGTTATAGTAGTCCTAAGCAAATAGCAGAACTCTGGACCCCTGCCTTTTCTGTGTATGTGATCTGCTTATTAAGGGACAGCTAGATAAAGTGACTGTCTTGACCTGCAAAGTTCAATACAATAGCCATTAGTCGTATTTGTTGTTGTTGTTGTTGCTATTTGTTTGTTTGTTTTGTGATGATGGGGATTGAACCCAAGACCTTGCACATGGTTAACAAGAGTTCTACTACCAAGTTAAACCTCCAGCCCCACAATTTTGGATTTTATTAAAATTAAATAAAATTTAAATGTAGTTTCTCGATTGTACTAGGTATATTTTAGATGTTCATGGTTAGTCATAGTCTATTGTACAGCACAGATACAGAACATTTCTATTATTGCAAAGTTATAATAGAGAACAATGATCTAGAGTATTTTTTTGGTGGGGGAAGTACTGGGGATTGAACTCAGGGGCACTCAACCACTGAGCCACATCCCCAGCACTATTTTATATTTTATTTAGAGACAAGGTCTCACTGAGTTGCTGAGCTCCTTGCTTTTGCGAGGCTGGCCTTGAACTTGTGATCTTCCTGCGTCAGCTTCCCAGGCTGCTGGGATTACAGGCATGTGCCACCCAGCAGTGTGGAATATAGAAAGGAGACAAAAGGTRTAGGAGAAGGGTTAAGCTATAGTGCTAAGCCCTTGGGCCCCTGAACTACCTCAGGGTATTAGGTTATCCAGCTGGGTGCTAAGGGGCAGTCCCTTTCTGGAGCCCGCACTGCTATTACCTGACCTGGCTCCTCATCTGCCTAGAAAAGCAAATTTCTGGAACTCCTGCATTTTTCTTTCCTCTTCTCAAGACCTGTCATTCTTTCCAGCATGGTGGCACATGCCTACAATCCCAGCTTCTTGGGAGGTGGAAGCAGGAGGATATCAAGTTTGAGGCCAACCTGAGCAACTTAGCAATACCCCATCTCAAAATAAAAACTAAAAGGGTCTGAGGATGTAGCTTGGTGGTAGAGCATCCTCGGATTCAGTCCCTAGTATTGTGTGGGATCCAGACTTGTCAAACTTGTCAAACCTACCTGGCCCTTTGGACCCCTAGTAACTCTTGAAGGAACCTATTGTACTCCAACATTAAAATCAGATCATGTTTTCAAAATACTTCTTTCATCCAGATATGGTGGCTCACACCTATAATCCCAGCAACTTGGAAAGCTGAGTAGGATTACAAGTTTAAGGCTAAACTCAACAATTTAGTGAGTCTCTGTCTCAAAATAAAAAATAAATAAAAAGGGTGTTGCTTGGTGGTAAAGCACTCCTGGGTTCAATCCCTGGTACCAAAAAAAAAAATTTTAAAAAAAGGTAAGTCTCTCTTCCCAAAACAAGAAAACTTAACTGCCCCTTGGCCAGGTCCCAGTCTCTTAGAAATACGTGTGTCATAGTGGTGCTCACAGTAATAGGTTCACGTGCTTTCCCAATGCTAGGTAGGATAGGGCTTCCTAAGTCTAATATGGCTGTGGAAGGAGGGATATCCCAGCCTCTGCAGTGGACCCTGAGAGACATGCTTTCTGACTTTCCTGTCAATTTCTCCTGTCTGTCCAAGATATTCTGTATCTAATTAGGCTCTCAGGATTTAAGAGGTATCTCCAGGGCTGGAGTTGTGGCTCAATTGTAGAGAGTTTGCCTATCATGTGCCAGGTACTGGTTTCGATTCTCAGCACCACATAAAAAAAAAATAAATAAAATGAAGATATTGTTTCATCTACAGCTAAAAATATTAAAAAATAAATAAAAAGAGGAGCCAGGGTTGTGGCTCAGTGGTAGAATACTTGCCTAGCGTGCGTGAGGCGTTGGGTTTGATCCCTGGCACCACATAAAAATGAAAACAAATAAAATAAAGGTATTGTGTCCATCTACAATTTAAAAATATTAAAAAAAAAAAGGTATCTCCAAGATACTCAATGCCTACTTTCTTAGTTAGGATAGTTAACAGTGTCCCTTCCCACCTGGTTTCAGATTCTTCCTGATGTTTCTGTCTCTAGAACTACAGTTCCCAATGACTGATTTGCTACTTTGTTGACATTAATTCCCATAAACCCAGTTGATGTTGGAGACACCACTGGTTAACTGGACTCTTACTTTAGTTAGGCCTCATCCCACTTTTCTCCATTTTGGCTAGAGACTGCTTGCCTTTCTTTTTCCATTACAGTGTTATATATTACACAACAAGAAACAGATCACCCAAGTTTATACTGTTTTTCCCCTGTCAATTTGTGATCCCATTGTGAATTCAGTTTTAAGCCTTTTCTCACCTAGCCCCTGTCAGTATTAGCAATAGTTTCTCCAGATTGGATTGAATGGCATTGTCAAATACTAAGACTGTTTGCAGGTTTTGTTTTTGTTTTTAATTTTGTTGTTGTTATTTGTGTGTGTGTGTGTGTGTGTGTGCGTGCGCGCGTGCATGCTGGGGATTGATTGCAAGGCAAGCACTCTACCAACTGAGCTTTTTCCCCAGCCCTTGTTTGCATTTTTTTGATACTATAAATTACATGGTAAGTACTAAAAGATTCTTCAAAAATTTTGATCATTTGTGCCCAGAGATATGGGTTTGAAGGCAGGTATATTCTCTGCTTCATTGTTGAAGCTAACTGGTGAAACAATCTGTATTTTTAATGCACATGGTAGTGGGAGCTGCCATCTGTTGGCTTGTATGTACCCAGTACAGTGTTTGATACATTATATCAATTTGTATTCACATTAGTTATATTGGGATTTGAGACCAGGACAGGAGGATGTGATCCCAAAGTTGACATTCTCTGCCCTACTCCCCTACCACTGAATTCCTTTTCTGTTCTTAGTCCTCTTACTGAATCATTTTCTTTCTCCTCACAGGCTGATGAAGACCCTATCATGGGGTTCCACCAGATGTTCCTATTAAAGAACATCAATGATGCTTGGGTTTGCACCAATGACATGTTCAGGCTTGCCCTGCACAACTTCGGCTGACCTCCTCCTGGCCAGGCACTCATGCTGTTTCCTCCTCCCTCCTCTTCCCAGTACTATCACACTCCTCCAGATGCTCCAAATATCATACACAAATAAGCAGGGCCACAGTGGGAGTGGGCGCAGTGCGCTGCTGCCACCAAGGTGTTGTGCATGATKTTTGGACACTAGCCTAGTTGCATCTGATGGGAGAAGTTTGTGTTGTACCAGCGCATGCCTTGGAAAGACTTAAGTAATGCAAAAGGTTGTCTTTTTTTTTTTTTTTTAATCTACTGACAAGTTGCTCTAGTAACCCAAAGAAGTGAAGGAGAAAGCAGCTGCCTCACCACCCAGATATTGATTTGTTCAGATGTTTCAATGMCTCATGATACAATAAAACACGAAAATTTTCTTAACAGTTTAAATTGTTTTAATTAGTTTAATAGTTGACTAGGCATCAACAGCTACCCTGTTCCATTGTCTCTCATGTCTCRCCCTCCCACCTGTCRTAACTYAGCAGTACCTGCTGCAAGGAGAACACAGGCAGAAGCACACTCTCAAGCCCTGTGGGCCAGAGTTCTCCACAGACTAGCTGGTCTTGGTTAAGCAAACAGGGAGAGTATGGTCTGGCCTGAGCTTCTTTTGCAAGGAAGCCAGTGCTGTCAGTTCTGACACCTGTGACCTCTGCCGTGGGTAGGTTCAGGGCTCTAGTAGCAGGAGAGGATCCTGAATCCTGTTGCTGTGCTGAAGAGATCTTTGCACACACAACCTACAAGGTTCAAGCCCTCTAGGCTGAGGTCTCAACAAAAATGACAGAGGGACCTTGTCTGTCACCAGAATGGACAGGATCCCATCCAGGGTGCCCATATCCCCCAAGCTAAGCAAAGGGCAGCCCAGATCCTGTACCACCTGCTTGGGATATCATTGCCCACAGAGCTAGTCCCCACTGGGGTGGAATGTAGATTTGGAACAATGAGAGAAGTCGGTCTGAGCATAAAGGATTCATATTCTATCAGTTCTCAGACCTCTAGGACATTTCCTGTCCACCTCCTATTTGTTATACACACTGCACACCTTCAAATCCTAGGAAGTCAACTATTAGGACATTTTTCTGCTCCTCAGTTTTGGGGGCAGAGGTCTTGTCCAGTAGAAATCTAGCCCTTCTGTCCTGAGACCACTGGATGATGTAAACCTAGTAGCAAAGTAGTAACTGCAGACYAGAACCAAACCCAGAATTTTGGGCTAATGCTGTCAGAGTTTAGGATTGGAAAGGGCACCTCAGCTCAGGCCCATCTGTAAAGGCATACCTTTCCCCTCACCCACTATGGGAGAAGGATAAAGATTTTCTCAGACCCCTCAGGTTTCCTGGCTGAACTGGGCACACACAGAGCTGGATGTGCTGTTTGTCAGGGCAGCATATTCAGATTTCAGTGGGACTGGTCTCCAGCTGCTGTGTTTGGGGAAGTTTGGGTTGGGGAGAGGTAGATGCCTGCTGCCTCTTAAACCATCCTGTATAAAATCTGCAATACAGCTTCTTCCATGTATCTGTACCTGAAATGTCTGCAATAAAGAGGTGTTTGTAAACTATGGTTTCTTTCTTTCTAACCCGAGAGGAAGCCCCGTGGGACAAGGGATGCTGGGGGACAGTAGGAAACAATGACTGTGACCTTTATGGTGGGACTATCTCCCCTGCCCTYGTAATTCCTGTACTTAATGACCTCGTGGGTCCCCTCAGGCCTTGGGTTATTCCAACCCATTTCCCAAAGGGGACACAGGCCTCTGTCAATTCAGTTTATCCTGGGGGCTTGAGGAGCTCCACCCTGGGCGATGGAGTTAATCCTGTCCTAGGTCTATCTAGACTTCATTTAGAGTAGACAGGAACTAGACTCGTCCCAGGGTGTCCTGGGACGAGTAGGGATACCAGCCCGGTAATTGTACGTGGACTTTTGCTGCCCTTCAGTCTAACACAACTCCGACCTCACTGGCACTGGGTGGAGGTTGCAAAGGGTGATCGGCTTCTGTAGAAGCTAGGCATTCTCCCCTACCCCGGAACCTTTTTTCTTTCGTCCTCGCAGGTTCCGGGAGCGGAGGCTTTTGGGGGCCGGAAGTGGAGGCGGTTGGTGGGGTTGGCGGGGCTCTGGACGCTGCACGGGCGGCGGTTTAGGAGCTGCGGGTGGACTGAGCGTAGTTACCGGCGCCCAGCTCTCTGCCCCATCGGGGCTGGGCGGTGCGCGGCTGCGGAACGAACGCCGTCCGGGCGGAGCGCCTGCGGCTGGGCCCATGGCCTCTTGCGCGAGCATCGACATCGAGGACGCCACGCAGCACCTGCGGGACATCCTCAAGCTGGACCGGCCCGCGGGGGGTGAGCGGGGATAGCGCGGGTGGGCCCTYCGCAAGCAGGGGAGTAGGTAGCGTGGATTTGAACCATTCTCAGAGCCCGCAGTTCCTCTAGGTCCTTTAGGCCGATGAGGGCAGACCAAGTTAAAATCCTTAAGCGTGTCGGGCGACTGGTGCAGACCCCTGGGTATGACCCCTCCCCATCCTGTCGCCAGATTATCTCGTCTCATCCTTGAGAGTCTCAGCTGAAGGTGAGGTCCCTTCTTTGAACCGAGGCGCCCCTCTGGTTTTCTGGCCACAAAGACTGGTATTCTTGGTACTGGCCCAGCGCCCCTAGCCTTTCGCAGTGGATCAGAGGCCTACAGTTAAGCGCTGTGCTGAAGAACCTCTGGTCGTTCTCTACAACTTGCTCTCCCCTCTGGAATGCGACTCTAGGCCTGCCTTTGCTCTGAAATCTATTTTTTGGAGGAAGGTGGCCAACCCCAATTCCGTGTTCTTTCTGTGATTAAGRCAAATCACAGATTGCACAACCTTGATTGGATTAGGTGTCAAACATCTGCAAGCCTAGCTTGTTCCAGTTCATTCAGATATCACTAGTGATACTTGTGAAGCTCCCTTGCTTACCAAGAGCCCCCGAACAGAGCTAACAGGGTTGCAATAAAATGTTGTCATTGTAAAAGAGTACTGTTTTGGTACTGTTATGGAAATAGGGTGGAGGGAGAATGGAGCTGGAGATGCAGAGGGCAGATCTGAGAGAGGAGACTGTTTAGGCTAGGTCTCATAATAAGGACAGATCTTGGGTATCAGGAAGCCACATGTTACAAAAAGTTGTAGCGGTGAAAGGACTGGCTTGAGATGGTGGTATGGGTGTGTGGAGGCCACATTGAGAATTGGTGTTTATACTTTTTGGATGGCCCAGTCTGGCTGCTTCTGGAAGCAGGCACTGGTGGTTAGCTCCAGGTGGGTTTAGGTAACTCATGCTCTGCGGAAATCTATTTGCTGCCTGAGACCATTGGGCCCTTTGACCCATACTTTGTGTGCTCCCTTTCCTCATGAGTGTAGCTTGTGCCTCAAATGCCCATATCATCTGCTGAGCAGACTACACTCCACAGAGATTTGGTAGAGCTTGGCATGACCAACCACATACAGCCTGAGCCTCCAGTTTATCTTCATGGTAGGCTGCCTGAAAGGGAGAGTGATCACCTTTTCCCTGAGCAGCTATGGTGGCTCTGAACCTTGTGAAGTGACCTGGAGGCTTTCCTCATAACTCCATTGTTTATTGATTGGCACTTGATTTTCATTTGCCAAGTAGCTCTTGCTTGTCTCCTCCCCACGAAGGACCAARTCATACCTCATACTGTTTTGTAACTGGAAATTTGCTATGTTCCTGAAGCCCCAGTCACCTTGCTTCCTGGGAGTTTTGGCAGTGGTGTATAAGCCAGTGAGAGTGCTCAAAAACTAGCCAGTGCAAACAGTTAAGATCTTGTCTTTCCTAACACCATGCTTCACCCTATAGTTTCTCTCCTTTTTGTTCAGCTCCTTCGTGTACATTTCCCCAGAGTTTACCTGTCTGAGATGACTTCAGAGCGATTTCTGTTTGGGACAGGACCCTTGCTTTCTTACTGCCACATTTATTCAGGCCTTAGGAGCCCTTCTCTCCAAACCTTGCCACTGCTTTGGTAATAGGCCCTGGTTATCTGTCACCAGATTCTTAGTTTGTGTGCTGCCTTAAAGCAGCCAACCTACTGGTCGAAGCTGACCGTGTCACCTTTTCCTTTAAAATTCTTTTGTGGAGTTGGGAATGTAACTTAGTTGTAGAGTACTGGCCTAGCATGTACAAGGCCCTGGGTTCTATTCCCAGCACCTCTAAAAAAGAAGTAAAAAAAAAATTRTGGTTCTCATTGTCCACAGGGAGAGTCTAAGCACCTCAGTGTCATACCTGAGGCCTCTGCAGCCTTGTTTTCCCTCCATTTTCCTGCTTTTCTTTTGTTGTGATTACAGTGATTATAATAGTGAAGGTGAGGTCCCTTCTTTGAACTGAGGCGCCCCAACCACATTGAACTCTCATCTCCTAGGTTGAGAGGTGAGGACACAAGCTAAGGGCTTTACCTGGGTGCCCCGTGTAGAATGGAAGTGGGCTCATTCCCAAGAAGGGAGGTGAGCAAGGGAAGCTGTGGGACTGAGAACAATGGACCAGGCAAAGCTGGTCATCTGGGACTAGAAATCTTTACCAGGTGACCTTTGCCATGCTCTCTCTCAAGTGTTCCTCTTGGAACACCTAGGCTGACCCCGGCCTGATATTACCTAGCTTCACACATGCTAGATAGGCACTCTACTACTGAGCTATACTTTCAGCCCCATCAGAGGATCTTTAATGGCATGTATCCCTCCTCCAGATGGAAGAACCTCATGTTCATCCTTGGTCTTTATATCAGCATTTATAGAATGAAATATGAACAAAGGGCCCTCCTCCCCATGGACATACTATGTTCAGTTTTTTTTTTTCCTAGAGCACCTCATGGTCCAGAAGGAAGTTCTATTGTAAGAGGGGCTAGTTGGAATGTGTAACAACCTTATCAGGGTGTCTCTCTTTCCCCAGGCCCCAGTGCAGAGAGCCAGCGGTCATCTAGTGCCTATAATGGGGACCTCAATGGGCTCCTGGTACCAGACCCCCTCTGCTCAGGTGATGGTACCTCAACAAGTAAGCCTGGTCTGCGGATCATACCACCCATTAACCTGCAAGAGAAACAGGTCATGTAAGTAGCTGAGAGATGGCAAATGTGCTGATGGTACTTTGGGGGCATCTGCTAAATGAGGGCAAGAGGTGCCAGCAGCCTCTGCTGGATGACCTGGGACAGAGCACTCAACCACACTGAACTCTCATCTCCTAGGTTGAGAGGTGAGGACATAAGCTAAGGGCTTTACCTGGGTGCCCAGTATAGAATGGAAGTAGGCTCATTCTCAAGGAGGGAGGTGAGCAAGGGAAGCTGTGGGACTGAGAACAATGGACCAGGCAAAGCTGGTCATCTGGGATTAGAAATCTTTACCAGGTGGCTGTGTCTTCTCCTTTTTTAATCTTGCCGTTAAGGTATACCAGACATAYGTAACCCTACCATTAAGCTTTTGGGTGAATAAAACAAAGTTCGTGCACCCCTCTCTCCAGCTGCCTTTCTGGAGATGACAGCTCCACCTGCATTGGGATTTTGGCCAAGGAGGTAGAGATTGTGGCCAGCAGTGACTCCAGCATTTCAAGCAAGGCACGGGGGAGCAACAAGGTAGGTACCAGGATACTGTGGCACATATAATGTATGGAGACACACCCAGCCTCTCCCTTCTCTCCCATGAGTCCAGTTCCTGTTGGTACCACCCTGACAAACAGCATGCCTCTATTTCAGGGAGCCAGGCTTTGCTGTCAAACCTCTGTGGGAATCTGGCTCAGGAGATTTCTGTGAATGACTG